GAATATTGGAAGTTAGCAGCATTTAAAAAAAAAAAATAAGAAAAGCTTAAAACATTTATATGGTTTTTGAACAACAACTCCCAGAATTTACCAACTAACTCTGCAAATAGATATTTTTTAAACAAATCAATTTCTTGCTTGCGGTTGAGTCAGAATCCTGCTGGAATGAAAACTAAGCAGTGTGAAAATATGAATTGTACACACTGGGAGTTCATCCATCTGTGTCTGTTTGTAATGTGGGACTTCCATTTTCTTTGCTTTGGCCATGGAGAAGAGGGAAAGGCAGGGTGCAAAGATACTGCTTCTTGACACTGTGAAATTCTGTTCACATTTCCACTGGCTTTTGATAACTAAGACTTGAAGATTAGAATCTTCACCTTTTTTTCAAAAAAGGAGAGGAGATTTTGGAGTGCTTGTAATTGGATTTCTTTGCCCCATGCCCTTGTTCTCTCCTTCATATTGGCCTGTTTATGATCATCTGGCTGAAACTGGGTAAAATGTGAAAAGGAAGAGGTAGAGGGAATTTCCTTTGGAAAGCAGCTCACATCGAGGTAGCCGTGCTTCATGGTCCAGTAGTTACATCAAAGATGCTTTCACATACATTGGAGCAAAGAGATGGGAAATGGCCACCCCATTGACTCTCATGAAAGGCCAGCTGTGTTTGGCTTTTTCCCATTCCATTGTTAATAGTGTTAGCTGTTGTTTATATATTCGCGAAGGCTTTCACGGCCGGGATCTAATGGTTGTTGTGGGTTTTTCAGGCTCTTTGGCCGTGCTCTGAAGGTTGTTCTTCTTAACATTTCGCCAGTCTCTGTGGCCACAGAGACTGGCGAAACGTCAGGAAGAACAACCTTCAGAACACGGCCAAAGAGCCCAAAAAACCCACAACAACCATCAATGGCCTCAAGTAATTACCACAGCATCTTTATGAAATCTTTTTGTTTTGTTATATGCCATCAAATTGAAACTGACTTACAGTGACCCTAAGAGGGCTTTCAAGGTACGTCAGATATTTAAGGAGTGGCTTTTCCGGTTCCACAGCCCCAGTGAGGTTTCACAGCTGAATGGGGATTCAAACCCAGACCTCCTGAGTCATAATCCGTCACTCTATCTGCTACGGCTTGGGCCCTGGATACCTGAAGGACCGCCTCCTTCCATATGAACCTACCCGGCAGTTAAGATCTAGCCAGGGGGCCCTTTTGAAAGAGCCGTCCCTTAAGGAGGTAAGAGGGACGGCTTGTAGACAAAGGGCCTTTTCGGCAGCTGCCCCCAGACTATGGAATGCCCTCCCGACTGAGATTCGTCTGGCGCCAACACTGATGACATTTCGGCGCCAGGTCAAAACCTTCCTGTTCCAGAAGGCTTTTAATTGAAATAATATTAGCTGTGGGTCTGATGGCAATTTTAATTGTATTTTAATTGTATTTTAATTATTTTATCTTTGACTGTGTTGAATTTTAGAAGGTAGTGTGGGCGGCATATAAATTAAATAAAATAAAATAAAATAAATAAATAAATAATACACCACAAAGGATATAAAATTATAGGAACTCCCGAAGGCAGATTTAAGATCGCTTAAATTTGTAAAGTCTCCTTCAAAAAATCTGTGGCATTATCTGTCAAATTAACCAGAACTATTCAATAACCCATTGTGGATCTCATCTGCCTGAATGAGTTCATATCCAGAAAACTTTCAATTTCAGCAAAGCATTCCATATTGACTGACATTGCACATACATATGTGGAGTGGAATCATGCCGCCTGCTTGCTCCTGGTTTAGTCATCTCATTACATGACTCAGAAAGCAAATGAAAAATTGAGACTTAAGCACAGAGTGCAACTACATTAATAAAAAATTACAGGAAACACTGGGACTGGGACAGTCAGATTTTCATGAATTTCTGTTGACTAAATGATCCAGATGGAGACTGCACCCAAGAAATCCGAAGAAGACTAAGACTAGGAAGGGCAACAATGGAGGAATTAGAAACTATCATTGAGTGTAAAGATGTGTTAGGAGATGAAGACCAAGATCATCCACAGTGTTATATATCCAATAACTATGTATGGATACTAAAGCTGGATAGTTAAGAAAGCTGTCAGGAAAAATATTGATTTATTTGAAATAAGATGCTGGAAAGTTTTGTGGATACTCTGGACTGCCAGAAAGACAAGCAGGTGGGTCCTAGATCAAATCAAGCCTGTGCTATCTCTGGAGGCAAACATGTTGAAACTGATGCTGTCCAACTTTGGGCACATCAGGAAAAGGCAGACTTCTCTGGAAAAGACAGTAATAAATAATGCTAGGAAAGGTGGAAGGAAAAGCAAAAGACAAATTAGGAGATCAGCTGACTTCTAAAGGAAGCCACAGGCTTGAATTTGCAAGAGCTGAGCAGGGCTGTTGAAGAAAGAACATGTTAGAAACCACTTATTCATAGGGGCAGAGGTGACTTGACAGCACATAAGTGACATAGAAATGATGCAAATCATCCAAAGTCCCCTCCCATCTTTTTTTTCCTCCACTACTAGGCTACTATTTTTTTTAATTGAATGCATTCACATATGTTCAGGCAGCCAGGTGTAGAGGTCTGCACAGTGGTGCCAAGCATTACGACGTTAATTTGTTCCAGCGAAATCGCTGTAGAATGAAAACGTCGTAAAGCGAAAATTAAAAATCCATTGAAACGCATTAAAACCTGGTTAATGCGTTCCAATCGGCTAAGAACTCACCGTCCAGCGAAGATCCTCCATAGGGATGGCCATTTTCGGGTGCCTGTGCAGCGGAAAATGGCTCCTAAACACAGCGGGGAGCCATTTTGAGCACCCGAGCAGCTATTTTGATTGTCGGGAAGTGAAAATTGGTTCCTGAAACAGGGAACCGATCAGTGCGCAGTGAAATTCCCCCATTCAAAACGTTGTTTTGTGATTGGTTTGCAATCGCAAAAACCTCATCATAATGCGGATTCGTCATTAAACGGAGCGCCCGTCTTGCAAGGCACCACTGTAGTTGTATTTCAGACCATTTCACTTGGCTGCAGCAGCAGTGATAGAGACGGGGCAGTGGGAAAATTGGCTGCTGTTTGAATAATCTTCTCTGCAAACCTGGTGTCTGAGTTGCTTTTCTTTATCCCTCCCCTTCCCTTTTTAAATTATGTCTTGCTACCTAGTGCTAGGGCAGCTAGGCCATTAGAGAGAGAAAAAGAGAGAGCCATGAATCAGTGGGAGGGGGAGAAAATTCTAGATCAGCCTTGTTTCCAGCTTGTTAAGATAGCTGTGCTCTAACCATTCCTCCTGCAAATGTGGACGGTCAGAGCACAGCTACCTTAACAAGCTGCAAGCCAGGCTTTTGAGTGCCAGTTTCCACTCCTCACTCTGCTGACTCCTGTGTGGTCAACAGAAGTTAATTCACCTGGGAGACCCCTGATTTCACAGATGTTTGATTTCACAGTGGATCTATTTGCATTTTCCCTGCTGTGTAGTCACATCCATAGCTTTCCAACTAGAAACTGTGTTTAAGGACTTAAAATAAGCTAGGACTCGAAGCCAGCTTTAAAAGATGGTTTAAAGTTGGCTGAAGAAGTTTACTGTAGTTCATGGTTCTCGTGCCGTGCAGTGGCAGTGAGCTTTGGGGCAAATAATTCTTGATGCCATTCTCCACCGATACTTCAGGAAAAAGTGAAGAAAATGTTTTATATTAATAACATGCCCTGTTTCTGCACTGTGAGCTTGCTCTTCTGTTATAATGGGAAGCTACGTTTAGTAGCCAAATTCAGGCTCCTTTGTGTGAAGGGGTGGGGGGAACGAAGTAGAGGGGAAAGGGGGTGGAGGGTGCATGCTATTGGGCATTTCTGAGCTTGTTAAACCCAGATTGCAACCACAGTGCCAATGGTATCTATATGTATGGACTGCCGGGTATACCTTCTTCCTGAAAGAGGACTAAATTTTGGCTTGGAGTCCTTCACAGACGAATGAATCATGCTGTTTCTCAGATAAACCATTCTTCCAACAGTTTAGTCTGCAATAATGAACTTAAAATGTGATCTTACTTCATGCGGAAGAGCCTTTTGAATGAAAATAATGCTCAGAAAATTCATTCAAGAAACTATATAAAGATATATACTATTTTCTCTTGTAAGCTGGCTGGATAGCTCAGTGGCTTCGGCGTCTGGCTGCGGAACCAGAGGCTGGGAGTTCAATTCCCCACCTGTGCCTCCAGGGAAAAGAGGCATCCTGTGTGGTCTTGGGGCAGCTGCATAGTCTTAGAGTATCCCCAAAAGAAGGGAATGGCAAACCGCTTCCAAGTACCCTCTACCTTGAAAACCCTGAAAAGGGTTCCCATAAGTCAGTACAGTACTGAGTTGATGGCATATGATTTGATTTTGATGGTTGTGATGATTAACTGCTTACCCCCTTCTTGACACAATCACACACATCTCTTTTTTTGAGCCACTAACTACAAATCAAAGAAAAAGGGTCAGATTCAAAGGCAGCCTAACTGAAGCACTGCAAATTAGCAAAGCTCCCCCTGCTGTTCCCATTCTGCTGTCTTGCTCCTGTCTTCTGGTAGAAAATGGATTTGTTGCCTTCTTTTGATTTCAGTTGGCGGTTTCTCTTAGGGTGCCGGGGCGTTTATTGTTTGCCCAACAATGCTGTGGCATTCAGACTTTGGAAACCCCCTTTCCCTCTTGCCAGTTCCGGGGGGGTGGTGGTGGCTTTCCTAATGAAAGCTGCCCAGATGTATCTACCCCAATTCAGATTTTTTAAAAAAGTGGTGCTGAGTTGTTGTTGTTATTGTTATTATCAGAGAGATCATCGAGGACCTGCTGGTTGCCAAAGCATGAGCCCTCCCGCTTGTCATCCACTATCACGGAGGAGAAGGCGCTGCGATTTGGCTGAGGGAGAGCCACCCAGCCAATCGTAGGGGCTGCTTTCCGGACTCTGTCATCAGCCCTTGGATGGGGAGAGAACGGGTTTTGCTTTCGTGCTCTCTCTCTCTCTCTCTCTCTGTTTAGGAGGCAGATAAAATGCCAGGTCTAGGTTGCCTCTAGGGATAACCTTCCCTTTCTATGATGTGAATGAAGAGCATTTCTGGCTGGTGGGAAATCCACAGGGGGAAGGTGGGGAGGGGGAAAAAAAGGAGAGAAGGAAACCAATCAACAAGACAGAGGCTCTGCTGCTCTGTCTAGGCCCTCCCTCCCTGCCTTTCAAAATCCCAGCTGTGGCTTTTCAAGTAGGAATCCCACTTTTTGCCTTGAGGAAGGGGAGCTTTGGATTATCAGACCTCCATGTATGACAATTTGTACCTGCATGGATTTGAAGACTCAGAGGCGGTAAGTGTTTGTGCTTTCTGCTGCTGCTGTTGCTGCTGTTGCCACGGCTGCCGCGGCTGTTTTTGACAGCCTGTCCTTTTGCAGGTTTCTTCTTAGCCTCCTTCCTCTGAAGAAGCAAAGTCTGCGGAGAAGAGGGACCGGGAAAGAACAGGCTGGGCTTTGCGGTCTGCTTGGTGTGTGTGTGTGTGTGGGGGGGGTGACAGAGACGGCTCTCCTGAATTCATTTCCATTATATAAGTCCCGATCCAGTTTCCCCGAGGGGGAAAGGGGGGAAAGAAAAAAAAGATAGGGGTGCTTTCAAGAAAAGACGGAAAGTGTTTTGTGTCCTAGCATTTGAGGCTTGGATGCTACACTTTTTCTCTCTTCATGGCAGGGTATATGAAGACTACTTGGTGGCTTGAAAAATGGGCAGAGAGATTCCAAGCGAGCCTATATAGGATGTTCATCACCTGAAGGGAACGCTGGCTGCAGCAGGGTGGGGTGAGGAGGGGACGCTGGTCGTATTGGTCATGTTGTTTTGTGTAATTGGGGGGGGGGACTATAGAAGTTCTCAAAGCAAAACAAGCTGTACATGTGTGTGTGCGCGTATGCGTGTTCCTATGTGTAATTAAAATTCTGCCTGAGTCAATGATCAGTGCAGATGCATCTGATTTCACTGAACAAAGAAGCAATACAAGTGGTTGCTGTAGCGCAACCCTATATCATCATCAACAGAGCACTATGTGTGCTTCTATCAGGCTGAGGTGTAATGATGGCTGATCTTGTCTTTTGTGTTGTTTGGGAGGTGTTATGCCTTAATAGACTTCCAAGCCAGGATAGTCAGCTTGCAAACAGAAGCCATTTATATTTTGCCAGAATTGATCGCTAGGAATCCTAAGCCGGTGCCCAACAGCTGCGGGTGGGGGGGGGACAGGTTTGGGGGGGAGCAATCCCTTGCTTGAGATTGGGAATCTTATGGTTGTTGCTGTTTCATAGGAAGCCTCTTTTCTTCTTTTTTGTTTTGTTGCTTTTTTTATTCTTCCCCTCTGGGATTTAAGAGAGTCCTCAAGGGGCAATGTTTTCCCTGGGCAACAAGAAGACCGCTTAGATTGATACAACAGTTTACACGCCGATCCATATTAAACTGGAAGGCATTACATAAGGTTTTATAGCCAAAACATAAAATGTACAGATTATAACATAAAATAGTGCATGCGTCAGTGCAGACGTATGGCCAGTGATGTGCAATAACCACCACAGGAGGATGGCTAAGATTGTACATACACCTTTTCAGATTAATCCTTGTTCTCGTCTGTTGCTGGGATTCTCTTCAGGCGTTACCTGCAAAGAGTGGCATATCTATATGTTCAATCTAGTGATAACAATTCAGTATAATTTGAAGGGATGTGTGTTTAAAAAGGAAATGATCTCTCCATTCCTTTCCTGAAGAAGAAGAAGAAAAAAACAAGGAGTGACTCGGAGCGAGATGCTTAATATCCATTAATGCCTCTTGAGATTAGTTTTGAAAAGTTGATTTTCGTTTTGTTTTGCAAACTGCCATTCCTTCATTCTGCAGATATTTCTGTGCAATGTATATTTTCTCACACTGCCACGTTGTTGACAAGGGTCTTTCTTCATGCCCCCTTGGCTTTACAAATATGCTCAGAACTTTTTCTAAAAACTCTTGACAGTTTCTCGTTCACATGACCTTAGCACATGGATGCAAAGGCTGAAATTGTTTTGCTTTGTTTTTAAGTTAAAACTAATGTATTTATAAGTGCTGACTGTGTTGAAAATGGCCGAGCTACTGCTGGGTAGTGCAGCCCAGTGGGTTGAAATGCCTAGGCATTCAAGAGCCACACCATATACAGTTCAGCGCTCTCTCTCTCGCACACACACAAACACACTGGATGGCTTGAAGCTTACCCATCTTTTTTAAGATTAATTTTTCTGCTTGAAGTATAGAGGAAATAATGGGCCAGCAACCATCATGATTGTTGGATCTATGAATGGCTGGCAGTTGCTGTAGGGTGCTTGAAACCTAACATGTGCTAAATAAAGATGTCAGTTGATGATTTGATCATACCATGATACAGAAGATGGATATGATATGTTCCAAGTGCACAGCTGTTGTCTATTGATTATGCACAAAGTAGACCCATTCCTCATGACTGAGTTTTTGCTAATGGGATATCCTCTCCCCAACTCCAAGGCGGGATGCACCATTTTTTGGTAATTTTAATCCTATTAACACTTGAACAGCTGTTGCATTTGTCTTGCAGAGTGTGAGTTGCGTAAGTGTCATGGGCACTATGGATATTGCCTATTAAGTGAGCGATGATGTGACACAATCCCTGCTGCTTTGTCAAGACCACACTATGGAATGAAATGCATTATTAATGCTGGAAATATATGCACCATATATATAGATATGGTTGGAAACTGGGACAGGAAGAGTTTGTGCCCTTCACTGTTACTAGGACACAAAAATTCTTCACACACACATACACACACATTAGACAATGAGAATAAGGCAACATATATTAGTTTCAGCTACCCTGTTTGGGAATACCAAACTGTAATATGTGTAAAAGTGCTTGCCCCACATATATATATTTCCAGAAAGACACACACAAATGCACATAGGGTAAACACTTGTACACACATACAGCCTGGCATTCCCAAGGAAGGCAGCAGAAACTAGTCCATGTTGCCTAATGTCACTCTCCTTCCAGTGCTTCACAAGCAGATCTTGCTCAGCCATCCCCTTCAGTGTGCTGAGAGTTGTGGACATGGGGTTCAGAAAGTTTCCTGAGGGTGAAGCAGACTCTTGGTCCAGTGAGCACAGGTATTTCTTACTGGCCCCAATAGCTCTGCAAGACTTAAGGCAGGGTTCTTGCCTTGGCCTCTTTGGAGATCCCTGGCACTTCCCAATTCAAGCACTAACCAAAATAAATCCAGAGTTTCTTCTGAATATAGATTGGGTCTGTTCAGGATGGTGGGGTGGTACAGCAAGCACTGTGCTGTTGTCTATCAAAAAAGGCCAAACAGCATTCAGTGTAATGTTGAAGACAGGAATGACTTTACCATTAAGCAAAGCCAAGCAGCAGAAGCTGGGAAGCAGGGAGCAAGTAAAGCTCTGTGTGCCCGGCAGCCTGTTTCGTGATGCTTATGCTACTCTGCTGCCCTCCGGTGCAATGGAGGAAGGGGTCCCATCACCAGGACTGACATAAGATTCAACAGCCAATTTTGCTTGGCTTTTCTGCACGGAAAAAGTCTTAGGCTAGCCCTGCTGAAATAATTCCCTTTGAAAGTGAACAAGTACCAGGCAGAAACTTAAGTGCTGCTGTTGAGGTGGGGGGGGGGAGGGTTGGAAGAACAGGCCTGGAATGATTCATCATGATGCAGAAGAATGTGTGGCCTCAGATTAAGTGAGCACACAGTTTTCAATTCAGTGAAAGCCAGTGCCCCTTGACAGTAAGGTGGTGATCTGTGGGAGTTTGGTGGAGGAAACTTACGGAAGAGAGTAATTGTGGGGAATTTGTTCTTTTAAAAGTACAGATCTATTGATGTGTCTTGCCCAGAATACACCCGAGCTGAGAAAGAAGCTGTGAGAACATTTCTAGTTAATAGGAATCCCAGGTCCGATACGCCTCTTTATGCTTTTCACAAACATGTGAAAAGCATAAAAGGCGTATTGGATCTGCCCTCTTGTCTGTATGAGGTAGATCTGTAATGAAAAAGTCTCCATTGTTGGTATGATGAGTGCATTGCACAGGGGAGCACCTCAGAGTGCAACAGGACCCGTATGGGGAACTTTAACAGCAAGGGGAGGCTTCACAAAACGCATGCCCAACAATTTCATTGTCAGACCCATATTACACTCAAAAGTCATGAGGATTTTTAAGAAGGTGAAATGGTAGCCTGGGCCTTTGCTTTCCTCATCATTTCTGGATGAATCCCAACTTTATCTGGAGAGAAGGAAGTTTGTAGTAATTGAAGCAAATTGAAGTGATCTGAAATGTTCAGAAGTCATTTGAGGTTTCTAAAGAGCCATTCGACATGCCGGACCTTAGCAGGGTTGCTGACATCTGTGGGAAAGTTGACGTTACTGCATGAGATTCAGAAGGAGGAGTGAAAAATTCATGAAAGAAATACCAGTAATTTAAGATATGCCAGTGTCATGGTATTATTAGCAGAAAATTCAGTGACTTTAAATAAGTGTTGATGAAAGTGAGAGGAAAGTTGAACCTTAAGGAGACAAAAATCATGACTGCAGAAGAATTACTGTACTTAATTTTAAATTTAATATTAACAATTAAGCAATTAGAATTGTTTAAGATCAGCTACACCTTGGTTCAATCATCAATCAAAGTGGAGACTGCAGTGTGGAAATCAAAAGACTGAGATGTGGAAGGCGAGCTTTGAAGGTACTAGAAAAGATTCTGGAATATGTTGATAAAGACCATGGCCAAGAATCTTTGTTATTTCCATTTATTTTGTGTGAATGTCGAAGATGAATTGTGAAGCCAACAAGAAAGACCAATTGCCAGACAGGCCAATAAATGGGTTCTAGATGCAATGAAGCCTGAACCTTATTAGAAGTGAAATGATTAAATTAAGGCCATCATATTTTAAACATACCATAACAAGACAAGACTTACTGTAAGAAACAATAATGCTTGGAAAAGTGGAAGATCGTAGAAGAAGAGGAAGATGAAACATGAGATGGACTGACTGTATAAAAGGAGCCCTGGCTTTACTTAGCATGGTTGTTAATGATATGGGCCTTTTGGAGGCTCTATTTATATGGTTCCCATAGATTGGAAATGATTTAATTATATAGAACAACAACTAAGAGGCTACTCCAGGTATGTAGTGAGGATGCAATAGTACTTTTTATTGGAAGAGAAACTAATGCATGTTAAGAGAGGTGGTTACTTTAATAATTTAACCGTGTTGGGAATGTGATTTTAAAAGACCCATCTTAACTGCGTCCTGTCCTGTGGTCTCAATATTTC